GACACATCAGCTTTTAAAAACAGACATTGCATGTCTGTTATACGAGGATCTTATGAAAGGATGATCAGCACTTCTTCACAGAGAATAAAATTTTAATAGGGGAGAGGATTCTACAACTCAGTTGACAGGGCATGAGAGTACTTGCCTTTGGTTTGTTTAGTATGAGCGAGATGCAGATAATTTTATTTTTATTTAGTTACATTGACAGTACATGAACGACTGAAATTATTTTCAGATTACACATAAATAGATTAATTAATTCCACAGGGGAAAAGGAATTACTTAAGATTAGGATTCACTTAATGGTAACGACCTAACCTAACAACCTAATTAGTCTACTGGCACAAGCTGAAGGCATTCAATGGGCCTGATAGCCGCTAATAACGGCCTTTTATTGGGATGATAACATCGGAAGCGCAGCTGCAAACAGCCACTTAGTATTTAATGTGTAAAAGACTGAATCAACATGAGGAGGGACCCATGAGAAGATCCAAAGGTTTTATTTATTAGATCGTTTTTAGACTTCATTTTCACCTGCTGCCAGAAAATTTCTCCTAAATAGATACATTGATCTACTACCATTCAAGAAATAATTCCGTAATATTGCAAAACTGTTATTACAATCAGTATTGATATGTACTAGTTTTACTGATTATGTATTCCTGATATCTAAAAAAACATTTTTTCTTCGTCTAACAAACCATTTCAAACAAAATTACATTCTCCACATCTAGAAGAAACATTCTAGATGTCTATAAATACATTTCAGATCTCCATATTCTAATATTACTGTTCAGCATTTGTATTATTTTAACTATGAAAAAATGTTTTTCAGATATCATAAATACATATTTAGTCAAGCTGACGAACGTCAGAATGGCCACGTAAAAAGTGTAAACATTTCTAGATATCGAAAACTTAATTCTTACTAGTATAATTTAGTTTTTTTACTTTCTAAAATTCAGTTTCTGCTACAAATGTGTAATTTAGAAAATCATTATTACAGTTAGGTTTAGGACTGTGATTTTTATCAGGAAGAATCTTATCTTAGTGATCCTCAAATGGAACAACAGAGAGGAGAGTGCTGTTAATAAATGTAAAACGGCCTGCCATAGTCCACTTTGCTTTTTTTAAATTTTTTTCATTGAACTGTATTGATCTCATATTGGAGAAATTTACCTTTGCATTTAACCCATTCGGTGGGGGAGCAGTGGGCTGCCATGATGGGGTGCCCCTCAGTGACCTGCTTAAAGACCCAGACTGGAAGTCTGTGGGAATGTGTGCTTTAAAATCTCAAGTTCCACTGGGGCGCTCCCTGTTGCCTGTTGTCATGGTGACTTGTCGAAAGTCGTAAGTGCTCCTCTGATAATGGCTTTTCAAGCTTGTTGCACACGTGCTAAACTTTGAGTAATTCTACTTGGAGTTCATTGAACTAATTGATAGCAGCTGTTGTGAAACCGAAAACTCAGAGTTCCCAACTTTAGGCTAAAATCAATTTAGAGTGGCGGATTTGAATCTGAGTTTGTTAACACCAGACTCCTGGTGTTTTATTTTCATTTATTTACTTTTTAATAACTTTTCATAATCTGTCCCAATCAAATGTGGGATTATTTTTCAATTTGTGTGGTAAAAAAAAATCAGATGGGATATTAAAAAGCCGAACGCAACCGGTGTGACCTGGGCTTAAATCAGAAACAAAAAGTGTATTTCACCCCTTTGGAGAGTGTCATAAAGATTGCCAAGTCTAGAGATCAAATTTAGCACAGCTAAAGTGTGGGGTTTGGCAACCCTGGGAATTCTCAAATTATTGGTTCAAGAACAGGAAATTAAACATAGGCTTCACACTACATCAAATAAATTTCGCACCATACCTCTAGATTTGAGGGGAGAAAAGTTAAGACAATGTTTATAGGGAATGTTACCTCCATCCCGGATGACAAGTGACAATGATTTTGACAAATTTTACCTAAAGTATTTTACTTATTGCTTCTTTGAATAGAAATTAATGTAGGAAATACTTCATTGTTTTGAAAGTTTATGTATCCCTTGGGATAACTCCTTTAGGGAAATTCTGTTTCCAGTAGCTTATATAGAGTAAAAGCAAGATGCCATTAAAGACAAAAATAAGACATACAATATTAAAAGAGTGTATGTAGTACAAAAAAAAATCATTAAAAAAAGTTTTAATGTCCTGGAATATGTTTTACTTAGATGTAAAAATATCTGCACAGTAGAGAGCTAATTAAAGACTACATCGTAGCTGACTTGGGTTATACAGTAGCACTTGCACTACAGAACTGTACTGCCCAAATAAATATGGGACAATTATGCAGACTACACAGTAGTCTGTATAATTAAAATTATGCAGACTATAGACTACAAAGATAATAACAATAGTTAATTCAATACCTCCCAGACTTTTCCATACTGATATTATTATAAATAATAAATAAAAAGCTAGCTCTATAAAAAAAAAAAAACAGATTTACAAAGCTTATTTTTGTATATTCAACACCTCTTGACTACAGCCCCATATCCAGGGATTGAATTTAGTTTTTCATAAAAATGCCAAGAAAAGGTTTACCTGTCAGTGTGGCCCCTCATACACAGCAGCTTAGGCAGTCTCTGCAGAAACAGACTCTTTACCCAGGGGGCCATGGGGTGGTAGGTAGCAGAAGAGCGATGGTGGACATTGATCACAAAAACTGTGACTATGATCGAAAAGGTGACAAAGATCATGATGAAGAGGAGGTACTCTCCAATAAGTGGGATCACCTGTTGAAGGACAAAACAGAAATTCTTATTCAAACACTTCTAACCCTCAAGCTAATGTGTGACACACATGGAAGAGTTAGTTACTAGGAAGGGAAGTATTTTTACTGCATCCAACATACAAATCAGTAACATAATGAGAATAATATAATAGTCTTGTGAAGGATTGTGGGAAATTGTATTGCTCCTATTTGCCAGATAGGCTGTTATCTAGGACGTATAGCTCATAATTGATGGGATAGGATCATTGGGATGATTGTTTGCAAAATGAACTATTGATAGGAATTACCCAGCTTCCTCTTTCTAGCTCCTTCCTTACTGCTAGCAGCATTCTTACAGCAATCATGACTTCCTCTTTGGCTAAAGTGTCCATACACATTTGCCCTAATCAGTCCAAGCCTCAGTCACTCTTAACAATTAGAGTCAAGACATGTGACACCAAGAAGACTACTATCCTTACCGGCTAATATCTATGGTCTGAACAAAAATGTGCAGGTTGCTCTTTGATGTAACGCTCCATGTTCTCTGGAAGAGTTCATTTCGCTTTTACAAGAAATTGTTCAAGTGAAGATAATCTTAAGTAAGTTTAAGTAAGTATTTTTTTTTTTTTGCCTTATCTTGATAAGGTTTTGTGTTACTTCCTGTATTTATAGTTTTTATTGGGCAGTTTGGCAGTACCACTGCAACTGTAAAGGACATGGACAATTGGGACAGTTTTATAAAGTCAATTTTGAGGTCTGTTTCAAATATATAGAGATAAAATCCTTGTTTAACTTTGAACTTGGTTTCAATATAAGTGAGAGACATCTGAAGAGGATTATGCCCTCAAAAGAATTGTCTTTAAGCAAAGAGTATTCTGAAATAATAGATCAGTTGTTTTTTTGTTTTTTTTTTATGAACAGAATCCTAAACAGGTTGACGATTTTGTTGATGGGGTTGCTAGTTCTCTGCGTACTGCCTTGGACAACGCAGCCCTTTTGAAAAAGAAAAACTTTAAATAAAGAAAGTAGGCTCCCTGGTTTAATGCAGAGCCACGCACTCTGAAGCAAGAATCTAGGAAACTGGGTAGAAAATGGCACTCTACATTTCTACGGGAAACCTACCTAGTCTGGAAAATAGTTTACTGTTATATAGGATAATCCTGTGCAAAGCAAGAGCAGCATATTTATCGTCAGTAATAGAGTAGAATAAAAATAACCTCATAAATAACAATAATCTCAAAAACATAGAACCTCAAAAACATAAAATAATAATATTGTATAAATCAAAATTCATTAAAGGAGTTATCTCATAGATATTTTATTTTTTAAACTTAAAATGTGTGTGCTGGTCTTTAGGTAAAACCAGATGGAAACTTTAGAGTGTGAGAGGGGTTTTTAACTGTGTTATGCTTAATATATGGGTATTAATGAGCCAGCCAAATATAGTAGAAACTTGAGAAAACGATTATCCATGCTAACCTTTGATGATGAAGGGATGATTTCCTCTATGACCAAAAGGAAAACAGTGAGGGACACCAGCACTGATGTGGAAAGGGACAGTTTTTCTCCCTCGTCAGATGGCAAGTAGAACACCAGCACAGTTAGAAAAGACAGGCCGAGGCAGGGGATGATGAGGAAGAGGGTGTAGAACAGCGGCAGCCTCTTGAGAATGAAGGAGTAGGTGATAAAAGGATACCAGTACATCCCATCCCTCCTGCTTCCTTTCATTCCAGTGGCGTTTAGGATCTCCCATTCACCGTTATCAAAGAAGTCTTTGCGATCAACATATTGATCCACAAGAACCAGGTCCACCATGTGCCCATCATACGTCCATGAGCCAAACTTCATGGAGCAGTTCTGTCGGTCGAAGGGGAAGAAGGTGACATCCATGGTACAGGAAGATTTATAACTAGCAGGGGGAGTCCATGTTATAGTGCCATCCCATCGCACTATTGCTTTGGTCATCAAGGAACCTTCAAAGCGACCATCAGCACTTGCAGAATATGAAAAATAGAGAGAACACATCATTGTTGGAACTAAATTGACTACGAATGGGCCTTAATGAGTCTCTATCTCTATGGAAAAAAAAAACATATGCAATCGGGTAAGTTCTTTCATTTGAAGTAGTGGTAGTGATACATATTTCAGCTGCAGCTCTTAGTTTGACAAGTATTATTTGATGATATAGGGCTGTTTAACAGAGAGCTGTTTTTGTTCAAGAAATTTTACCAGAGAGACCAATTTGTCTTTCCTGGACGAAAGGAAAATGCTTTATAACCTTCTTTCAGTATGCTGTCTGGGAGTGTTATAGAAACAGAAAAAGGAAGGAACAGTGTTGTGTTACTTAATCTTTTTTATGCTCCATACACTAAGAAGAAACTTCTTCTATCATCACATTAAAAGGACAGCAAACTAATAATAAACCACACCAGAAAATTCTACACAATCAGCATTTTGTGATCTTAAATCATCACATGAGCAGATTGAACAGCTCTAACTGATCAAGCAGTGTAATTGTAAGGTTGCAATAGAACTCACTTTTCATAGAGAACAATGTCAGGTAGCCATATAGTCTCTGATGGCACTCTGATAGAAGTAACACCCCCATAGTCTTCTGGATTCCACCTAAGCTTCACATCAGTCCACTCCTATCAAAATATAATATACAACAAGGTTCTCATTAAAACAGCAGTTAAAGGAGTCTTTGTGCAGCATCATTTAAATTATAGTATTTGTATTTACATCTCAGCTAAACAATAAACTACAAAAAAACTGGTTAATTAATTAAGGCAAGTGTAATTCCAAGCATTTTGAATTTAAGGCAGAAATGTATATGAGTTAAAAATGCTTTAAGTATAACTCCCACTGATTTTATGACATAACCTCAAAAAATGTAAAAAAAAAAATAATAATAATAAGATGATACCAGAATGGTAGCATCGTCATTGCTGCCAAATGCCAATGCTGTTTAGGCACCTGAGTGAGATGTAACAAATTTATACCCAAATGAGCAGAAAATGCCTGTACCTGTTAAGCGTGTACCGGCATGAACTGTTTGATGTAAGAGCATTCAACGGTATTAGCTACCGTTTAGCCCTTAAGGACAGCACAGAGTCGGTTTTCAGATAAATATTTCAAAACTAGAAAATCCAAAATGAAAAAAAAAGTGAAATAACATTAAAATAACACCCCACATGCTCAGTTTATACAGTATAAATGTAAAGAATTATAATTTTGGGGTGAGTTATATTGACTTGGGAGACATGATTACACTAAACCAAAAATTTTGCAGTTAGATCATCGGATATATTTATGTGAAACTAAGCTCTTTCCTCTAAGAGAAGATACTTAAATCCAGCCAGCACCACTATTTCCTTTATGACAAGGCCAAGGAAGACACCTGGCCAGTTCTGTGATGTGGGCAGGTGCCTTAGGCAGCACCAGATGAGGAATGTTCAAGTAAATAAGGAAATATAACATTTTTAGTTGCATCCAGATGAAGTTTTCTGTTACTTTTATGTATTTGCAGTCACCGGGAGTTGGTAAGCCAAGGGGCTAGCTTTGGCTTTCCCAGACCAGGAAATTTGAGAAAATTGTATCTTCACATATGTAAACTGTGACAATGTTTATGTAATGAGACAGCCATAACGAGTAGAAATTATAGCTCCAATAAAAAAAGCAATACTCACGTTTAAACACAGAGGGCTTTACAAATTTGCAGTCATAGTAATAGACATGTTTGAAAAGCTTTGAATATAGGTGTAAGCAGTTCTAGTGGTGAGGTTCTCAATCGTGGGCCTCAAGTACCACTGTCCTCCTAGTTTTATGGGACTCCTTGGTACGAAATTATATGGATGAATGATAGGGCTTCTGCAGCATTTGATGGATGCTGAAGAGCTCATTAAATCATTTGAAGGATGTGGGCTGCAACAGAGAAATGTCTAAAACATGCAGAGCAGTGGTAGTTGAGGAAAGGGATCAAGAACCACTGTTCTAGTAGATCCAAATCTTCTGATTATTCCTATAAAAATCAAATGGGAAACAAATCTGCTATGAAAAGGTTATTTAAGGGTAAAATCTCCCTCTGTAATGACAGGCAATTTTTTCTTATAATGTTATGTATTACCCTGACTTCCTGTAACATGTTGCATTTTTTTCCCCAAATGTTAAGCTAATACCAGGTCAAATAAAATGAATGAAATTAATGTACACTTTAATAATTCTTTGCCTAAATTGTACTTAAGAAAGTGAATCAAGTTCTCATCTTTACCTGCCAGAGCCAAACATTTGTAGTCATGAGCTGGTTCTTTTCATCCTGTAAAAAGAAATTAAATAAGCTCATTAAGCTGCTTACTTGGAATGATAAGAGAGGGTAATTAGGATCAAACACAAAGCTAAAGGAAAGTTAAGTTAAATGAAATAGGCTAATGGACCTTGTGGTGACTCCTTTATGTTCTTTTTTTTTTTTTTTTTGCTTTAAGAAACAGTTTTCAGAGTAAACTATCTTCCAAAAGAATTTACTAAGTTTTAAAAGAGTACAATAGATCCTTCCTTCCTTCCTTTTTCCTTGAAATATTTGCAGACATACAGTGAAGTAAAAAAAAAAAAAAAGATTAGCCACTAATTGGGAAACTTCTCTTGACGTTTTCATTATACGTACACTTCAACTATAAGAAAGGAGATTAGAGATTGTAGGATTTTTATATAATTGACTTGTAAATTATGGTGGGAAATAAGCATTTGGTCATAATAAAAAGACGTTTTTAGTAAGTTTTCAGCAGGTTTGCACAAAGTGTTTCCGGTATTTTGGCCCGTTCCTCCTTGCAGATCTCCTCTAGAGCAGTGATGTTTCCTGGCTGTCCCTGGCAACAGACACTTTCATCTCCCTCCACAAATTAAGTTGAGGTCTGATGAATGGCTACACAAATCCTGAACCCTGATTTTTTTCTTTTTTAAAGGAGCCACTCCTTTGTTTTCTGATCGGTGTGTTAGGGATCATTGTCATCCTGGAAGACCCAGCCACGTTCCATCTTCATTGGTTTCAGTAATGGAAGGATTTGGTTTAAACTATCACAGTATATGGCCCCATTCATTCTCTCCTTAACACAGATAAGTCAACCTTATTTCTTAGAAGATTAAAAAAAAGCCACAAAGCATGATGTTTCCACTCTACACTTGAAAGTAGATATGGTTTTCTTGGGTTGCAACTCCGCATTAATCTTGCTCCAAACAGGATGAGTTGATTTTGTGCCAAAAAAATATATATGTTGCTTTCCTTTTACCACATGATATTCTCATTGTCCTCTTCTGGATCATCTTTATGCTCTCTGACACACTTCAGACAGACCTGGACTTCTACTGGCAGGGGGACACGCCTGGCACTGTAGGATTTGAGTCCCTCTGGGTTTAGGGTTTTACTGATGGAAGCCTTTGTTACTTTGGTATCTCTGCAAGTCACTCATCAGAGATCTATTTCACAAAGCAGGTTTCCTCAACTCTGAATTGATCTAGCCTAAGGTTGGAAACTCTGTTTCACAATGGCTGGTGTGAATTAGTCAATTAATCAACTCTGAGTTTGCATATATTTTTAACATATTCTGGGCTGCTCAGTGGTGCAGTGGGTAGCACTGTTACCTTGCAACAAGAAGGTTCTGGGTTCAATTCAAGGCCCATGGTCTTTCTGCATGGAGTTTGCATGTTCTTCCTGAGTATGCATGGGTTCTCTCCAGGTACTCTGGCTTCCTCCCACAGTCTAAAACATGTCTGTTAGGTTAATTGGCTTCTCTAAATTCTCCTTAGATGAGAATGTTTGTTTGTCTCTATGTTGCCCTGCGATGGACTGGTGACCTGTCCAGGGTGTACCCTGCCTCTTGCCCGTAGACAGCTGGAGATCGGCACCAGCATCCATTGCGACCCAAGCAGGGATGAAACTTGACAGAAAATGGATGGAAACATATTCCAGGATATTACACCTTTTTCTTTTTGTATGCTTTTTTGTACTATATACACTCTTTTTATATTGTCTTTTTTATACCTAAGTTTATATGTAGTCAGTTATAGCAGGAGGTTTTTGACATTTATTAAAAGCACTCCCCTCTCTTTCTTCCATTTCTACATCACTGAAATAGGATTATTCCTGGTCAAATTACTTTCCTCGTCAAAATGGTATTAATAGATTTCCTAAATTAAATCTTTGCCAGCAGAAAATGCTTTTCAGAATAAAAAAAAAAAAAAGTTATTTTAGTAAGAATTAAGTTTTAGATACCTAGAAAGGTTTGCACATTAAGGAGCTATTTTGAAGTGCAATAAATAAATCAGACTTGATTTGATTATGGTCTCCTTACTTTTTTGCAGTAAAATATAGTTGTACAAATTAACAGAATTTTCCTGAATTGCTTTGACCAAAGCTAGACTAGTTTTTGGTAAGAACACAACATAAGGCCTATTCGAACAGGCTAATTCTGTGACAAATTCTGTACAGCCTTACAGACTAACTTCAGTAATTCAAAAACCCTGTCCTTCCACTGTCATCTATCTAATTAAATTGTAACCATGATGTGTACACATTTGAAAAAATACTAAATCTGACAAATTTTCATGTCAAAAGAAACTTGAGTATTTTAAAACTTGATAATTTTTTTCAATTATTTCCAAAAAAGGTTTAATCTACTTAATATTTATTAAGGTTCTAGAAAGAGATTGTTTTAGGAAGCACTTTGGGTATCTGTCGTTATGGATAATGACTGGATATAAACTTTGTTCCAAACCTCCAAAGCAGATCCTTTAAATTTTGACTTTCTACATAATAAGCCCTCTTATCATCTAATCATCATTTGAATGTGGGTTTAATTTGGCAATGGCAATGGATTAAAGATTTATAGTGGCAATGCAGGAAAGGTTTTTATATGCTGCATCTTCCATTAAGACAGCACTGCTGCAGCTCCACAATACAACAGAACATCTCCACTCCTTAGTCTAATTAATCTTTCTGAGAGTCCTTTAGTTTTACTCAGTGGTGATCACAAACTGAGACCACAGTCTTCATTAGTGGTCTGTATTTCTAGAAAATCTGCTTAAGTAGCCCACAAATGCTGATTCTCAATGTGAAAGTTCACCATTGAGTAATTATATCTGTACTACCTAGAGAGACTTTTAAATCTTCACAAAAGCAGAATACCTTACACTGTTTGATATGAAGAAAATGTAAAACTAATTTTAAATATCACGTCCTCACTTTTTCAAACAACTTAATTTTCTCATTATCTACAGATAACAAAAGCCGTTTTCTCATGATAATGAGATGATTGGTGTGTGTTAACACTGATTACATCCTTCAATACCACAAAAGCGGGAGAGGATCTATAAGTATAAGACATGGCAGCCCATGTGAAATGTGTATATAATCCTGTGTTTAACTTTTATGTAAAGACACAACCTTGTTGGTTTGATTAGTTGCTTTCTCTTCTGATTCATAAGCAATTAGGCCTTTGCCTCTGGCACTGTAGTGCCGGTGTTTTCTGAACAGCACTGGTGTTACACCTGTAAAAGGTATAATTCCGGTTTAAAGATTTTCATAAAAAAAAAATTCAGATTTTTTTCTACTGTATTCCATGAAATCAAATCATCCACCACGACCTGAAAATGAGTGAAAAGAATCGGAAACTAAAAAACAGATTCATTACTCATACAGGTTAATCATCTCATTATCTAGTTATTATCTCAAGAAAACAATTAATGGTTTAACCGTAATAACGAGATAGTTATGACATTATCTTGAGAAGGCAAAGGAAAAATAAAGTAGAGCACGACCGCTCTCGGCTTCCGTACTCACCACATCTACCAGCTGTGAGATCTTCAATCCAAAGCGTACAGTAATGGTGTCGTTGGCATGCCCGACAGGCCGGACCCACTTCTGATAACCTTTGAAGAGGTTTCTCAGCAAAGAGTCTTCCATTTCAGCGAGTGACACAAAGTCCTCCTGGCCTGCAAAAAAATGAGAGGTTACCATAAAGAAAATATTTGAATATGATAGAACTCTTGTTTTCTCTTTTGACATGAGATTTGAAAAAAAAAAAAAAAACAAGTAATGTAGGCTTGTCATGATTTATAGGTTTTAAAGTTAAGCTTTCATTTTGTATTCATGTCATGTACCACTTTGCTCATTGTTTATTGTGTTCTAAAGTTCTTGCAATGTTTTTTTTTTCCATTTAGGGTTCAACATACATATTAATTTTGTTCTGATCACTGTTACCAAGTGTTTTTAACACATTATCTTGTGTATTTATTTGTCTTGCTATTGAGTCATGCCATAGTTTCCTCATTTACTTTTTTCTGTATTATTGAAAAAGCCTGCCTAGTATTGACCAGTTAATTGGTAGATCCTATTCTCCCATGTCTCCTGATTTACCTTATAGCCTGCTCCTGTTCCATGCACCATTTAAGCCCATAGTTTGTCTTTATTTATCACATGTATATCAAAACATCACAAAATATTAGGGGATGAATATAGAACTAATAAGTTGTTTTATAAATGTAAAGTAAAAAGTAAAAAAAAAATTTGAAATAACTTAACAACAATTGTAGAAATATCAAACATAGAGCTACCAGTACCATTCATCTTCAGTGTCATGGTCAGAGATGCAACTTCCTTGGAATGCTCAGAGAAACAAAATTATTGCTCAGAGACAAGACCAAGATCAGGAAGGCTTAAGCCCAAGCACCAAGGAGAAGGCATTTGGAATAAAACATTAAGATGGATCAAGAAATATCTGAGGACAATTATTTTGAAACAGGGCTGCCCAAGTCCAGTCCTCAAGAGCTATCACAGCTGAATTCCTTCAGCATATCAGCTCAACAGAGACCTGGTAACAAGCCCCTGATTACATTCAGGTGTTCTAGAAAGATTATGCTTTTTTAAAACTTCATTAATAATCATTAATAGGCACAGAGCTCCACTTTAAGTGAGAGAGCAGGTTTGATTATGGCATGGGGGTATTATTAAGGATGAGCAGGTTATACCTTCTCAGACTGAAGATGGACTCAAGATCAACACTCTAGCCTACAACCAGGTTTTTGAAAACAATTTCAAGCAGTTGTGCAAGACTACAAGCTTTTTAATGCAAAACATGACCTGTACATATATCAAGTACTATCTGGCCATGCAGGAGAAGACCTAAAAAAGATGTGGTTCCCTCCCTTCACTTAACCTAAGGTCATTTGAAAACTGTCTGGTACCCTTTATATCAAAAACAGCAAACCTATTTCTTTTTCGATGAAAGGATCTTTAAGTTGTAGAATAACCAACTCAAAGTCCACACCCACATTTATTTTGTTAAGTCACCAGTCAATTTATTTTTTAACATTGGAGCTATAATTTTTTTCACACAGTGATGTAAGTTTAAATTCCTCCCACCCCAAAATAATACATACCATAATTAAAGAACTGCAATTTGTATTAATTTACTAATAGTTAAAAATGTTTAATGTTGTAAAATACCTAAGTGTAACAAAGATGCAAAAAAAAAAAAGAAATGGAGAAGGATACACTTTTTTCACACCACTGTATATATAATTTCGAAATGTTCAATTGTGATTAACATAACAAATTCTTTCCCTTCTCAGAAAGACGTGTTTGGATATGAGGTCATGTCCTCAGAGCCAGCCAGGCAACAAACACAGACATAGATTAAGAGTCAACATCAGACTGATGGCTGGTCATGGCCCAACAGATACATCCAAGCTCTGGAGGCCAACAAAATGATCATGCTGACACAATCACCTCGGACAGATAATTCACTGGGGAGATAAAATAGCTGAAAGAGCTTTGTGCATTTTTTTTAAATTGACACCCGTTGGAAACGGCAAAACAAGGCCACAGCATTCTGATTGCACCAGTCCAGTCGCCGATTATTACAAACAGCTGAGAGTGTTCGGTTCTTAAAGCTGGTGTATCACAGAAAAGATCCTGCAAAAACATGTTTCAACATTCAGCCTGGTGTAACTTTACTGATTACCTAAAAGTAGAAAAAACATGCAGTATTAACTGTAGACACTGATTTTTTTTCCTTTAATATTTTTCATGAACAATTCAGTAAGTAATTAATTTATTTATTTATTTTCTGATACTGACATGTCCTGGCAAACAGTTTAAGACAACTATGTTACTCATTACATAGAATTCAGATGAAAATGGCAGCCATATTGGCTGGATGCCCAGAGCAGTATCTGGCATCTGTACTTGAGCAACACAAGAGCCTTTCTCAGTGATGACAGAGCTTGAGGCATTTTTCCACATAAGAAAGTGGTGTTTGGCACAGCCTGTAGTGCTGCGTTGCAACAGAGGGCGACGGACGACAGAAGGGAAGATTAATGCAACAGCCTTTGAAATAAGGGGAATGCTTCAGAGCAGCGGTGAAAGCCGATAAGGGAGGGAGAGAGACAGACTGACCCAAAGCTATTCCTCAATATATGTGACAAAGAGGATGAGGAGGAAGGACAGAGGCTGAAAGATACATAAACTGGGGCAAAAGGACAGAGAACAGACACCAAAACTTATAGTAAGAAGAAAATTCCCATTTCCCTTTGCATTTGAACAAAAGACATGGTGTGATTCATCTTAAAAGCCAACTCTTTCAAAAGGCTTAAAAAGGTAACTGGGGCTCAGGTGCTGCCAGAATGGAACACACCATTGAGGCCTAAAGCTTAATTTCAGGTACAAGGTATAAAAATGTAATGACTCCATCAATCTTTTGAGCACTGGGATTTATCCATTTAGGTCTTTCCATCTGGTAGTAACCAAAGGTGTTTGTGTTACATTGAATCCCTTCCCCGAGGTGTCTTTGTAATGCAGTCCATCAAATACTCTGTCAAGTAATTTATATAAAAATTGACAAAATCTCAGAAAAATTCAGCGACAGACACTCAAAGCAGCGGTAGGTTAATCGGAAATATAATCACCAACATATTATATCATTGAACTCATTAACAGGACTACAAATCTTTCAACTTTTATGTAAGATCATCAGCTGCATGCAGATGTCTGTTGTTCCAAACAAAAGCCAAATCAAGTAAATTAGGGAAATCTACCCTAAATGAATAAAAAACAGCTTTTTTAATAGCTGCTACTAAGTTCTAGTATTGAGAATTAAGTATTAAAAACTATATTTATGTGGTAAATTCAGCTATACCTCCTTTGGTGTAATCAGCTTCTTCAATTGAAGCCTTTAACAGCCTGATGAATAAGCTATAACTAGTTGATTTTGAATATATACTGTTAATGATCTTAGGGATCACGTCTTAATGCTATGTGCATAGCTAGATGATGCTGTACTATGGGTTTAAGAACTTAACCACAGAGAGATATGGTGTAAACAGTACTGGTCAGAGGTTTACAGACATATTGAAAACAGGTGTCAAAAAATAAAAAAAAATCAGTTGTTTAAGAAGTTGGTCAAATGTATAGTTTTATCTTATTTTTATCAAAGCAAAACTTAATGTATTACCAGGGATTTATTGTGGATATGTTTAAACCAAAACAGTTAAGATTACACAAAAAAGTAAAAAATGTAGAATTATATGAAAATAAATAACAGCTTGTGTGCTTTTCATCCCATTTTCTATCAGTATTTTGCCACCCTTCAACCTTAAAAAGGTTTGTTTGCTCGTGACTACTGAGGTTAAATGAGCTTCTATGGGCCTCAGAAAAGGAGACTAGGAGCTCATAAGACTCAGAAAACCAAATAATTTAAAGAGATTAGTATATTAGTCTATAGGTGCAAGGCATGCAAAAGTTGAAGCAAACCCAGTTCACTTCCCAGACCAAAATAAGGAAAAACTTCTATTTAAACTGCAATTTGATAAAAAAAAATTCCAAAACATGTATGATTAATTAAATAAGGAATTATCTTTAAAAAACTAAATAACTTAACAGAGAGAGTATGGGAGTGACATAAAACACTTTTTACAAGCAATCGATATTAGCTCTGTTTATCCAGACAGAAGAGGGTTGATGGCAACAAAAAAAAGCATAAAGCCAAATATACATGTTGGTATATGCATATACTGTATTTGTACACTGTAATTGTGGGTATGCAGTAGTTCTGATCCAGTGTGGAATAAGGAGAATCTGCTATAAAGTCAAATTTGAGTAACTGATTTTTTTACTTTAAATTGTCCATAATGTTGTCTATTCCATAATTATTTCACCTTGGAAAAATATGGAAAAACCTTGAGATAAATCAACAGCTTACAGAACCCCCTGAACATCAACAGCTAAACATACAGTAGTATTTTATTTTTTTTCCTCACATAGTTGTGTGGTAATTTTTTTTCTCTCTTCCAAATACAATAGCTTGCAAAGTTCATTTTCACCAAAGTTGTATACAAATTTTCCTCACATTTGACTCTAGAATTAGTTTTTACAAATTCTAGTAAAGTAAAACATGTAAGGACCTTTAATTGTCAGAGTATTGCCTTCTATGCAGTGTGCAGAAAATAAAAAGTTAAAGTACAGGCTATGTTTCCATTCATTGCATCAGAATCGTACAGTTTACAAAGAGCTAAAATGGGGCATTTGCTCTCTTGTTCATCTGGAACCATCTATGTAAAAATACAGGATGTACTGTAGCCTTGTTTTGAGATCCTCACAAACAAAAACACAAGAGTCCCATTAGTCAAAGGTCTGCATTTAGCTGCAAAAGCCAGCTTCTTCCATTAGAGTGAAGCAGATAGGCAGAGTGCAAATATGTGCATGTGCATGGTTTAGATATAGAGGAAAGTATTGATTAGGATGAGCACTTTGATGGTTGGGGGGCCAATGGTCGAATCTCTGTTGGAAAATTATGATGCATTAAAGCATGACTGTCTGCATCCACTTCCTGCATGAAAGACCTCAGCAGGAATATTAAAGAGCTTTAGTGGAGTCTGGGAAAGACAAAGCTTTGTTGGTGAATGACAGAGATGCAGGAGAGGCCCAGCAGGCACTA